GACTTCTGTCCCAACAGCAAGAGGAAGCCCCCACTCCAGACTGTGGTCAACTGAAAGATAAGGGACTCTTCCCCTGGGCTGTCTCCACGGACCTGCCAGTTCTGACCGTTTCCTTCTCAAAGAGCCATTCGAAGCGTGGCCACTCCTGACTGGCCTCTTCCACCAGGGTTCTCAGCGTGCCCGTCTTGTGGCGTGTTCCGTCCCTCTTTTTTAATTGGGGTAAAATGCACATCACATAAAATGTGCACGTGGCATTGCCACCAAACACACTCCCGCTGCCCAGCAACCGTCTCCACCGTCCACCTCCAGGACCATTTTCATCTCACAAAGCTGAAACTCTGGGCTGGGGTGTGGCTCGGTGGTAGGGCAATTTCTCTGCGTGCATGCCCCAGGTTCCATCCCCAGCACCACAAAAAGCACCCTGAAAACTCACCCATCCAAAAACGCCCCGCTCACCCCTCCAGTCACGGGCCCACCATCCTTCCTGCGGTCTCTGTGGTCTCTTTTCCTTTCTGTGACTGGCTCGTGTCACTTAGCATAACCCCTCAAAGCCCACCCACCTGCAGCATATAGCAGGGTCTTCTCCTTTTTAAGGCGGAACATTCCCTCACGCATCTCTACCACATTTTGCTCATCCATCATCTGTAGTAGACATTTGGTTGTTCCCGTCTTTGGATATCCTGAGTGTCGTGCTATGAACGAGGGTGTAGGAATACCTCTTTGATATCTGCCTTCAGTTTGTCTGTACATATGACCAGAAGTGGAATTGCTGTACTATGAGCTATGGCTACATCCCATTTTATTTTTTATCTTGAAACAGGGTCTCTGTAAGTTTCCCAGGCTGGCCTTGAACTTGTGATCCTCCTGCCTCCGTCTCTGGGGTAGCCGGAATTACAGATGTGCACCACCACGCCTGGCCTTTAATTCCATTCTGAATTTTTTGAGGAAAGTTTTATTTCTTTTTATTATCTAATAACATATAGCTGTATGAATAAGTTGAAATTTGTTTCCTTATTCAACTGATACAATCTAATGTTAATTGATAGTGAGGCTATTGTGAATCATTGCTACTTTCTGGCTATTATAAATGATGTGCTGTGAACTTTCACAGAAATCAAGACAGTGCAATTTTAGTAAAAAGCTGATCATAGACCTAGAAAGAACAGAGAGCCCAGAGACTAACACAAATATGACCACTTATTTTTTTGACAAAGGAGCCAAAAAAATTCAATGGAAAATGGAGAATTTACTTAGCAAATGGGATTAAAGAATTGGATAACCATATGCAATAAAATAACTTAAACTCAAATCCCACACCTCTTACAAAAATCAACTCAAGGTGGGTCTCTTTCCACTGATTTTTGTCTTCTTCCATTTCTTTCATTAGTTTTGTAATCATCAGAGCACAGATTTTTCACTTCCTGGTTAATTTGGTCTTGAGTATTTTTGATGCCATCACAAATGGATTGTCTTCTTGCTTTCCTTTTAGGATAAGTTGTTCTTTGTGTAAAGCAATGAAACTGATTTTTGCAGGCTGAGGGCTTGCGGTCTTTGGAGTTTCTGACATGGGCGTTGCATCATCTGCAATAGAGATAGCTTCAGTTCTTCTCTGACTTATGTGCCTTGTTTCTTTTTCTTGTCCGATTGCTCTTGCTAGTGCTTCTAGTAACAAAGTGGAATAGAGGGCCTCCTCATCTTGCTCGTGATCTCCAGGGAAAAGCATCCAGTCTCCCAACGTGCGGAATGTTCTTTTATCAAGCTGCAGGATGCCTCCTGTTCCTAGCTTGCTGGTACTTTCTTTCATCGTGAATAAGTGCTGGGTTTTGTCACACACCTTCTCTACATCAGTTGATAAGATTGCGTGGCTTGTATTACAGGGTCCTCAGGGAATCTGAACCCATAGGGTACGGAGAGATTTGTCATGAGGAATTGGCTCAGGCATGATGGAGACTGAGAAGCGCCATCATCTACCTTCTGCCAGCTGGAGACCTGGGACGACCAGTGGTGTGACTTGCCCAAGTCTAGGGGTCTGAGAGCCGGGAGGCGATGAGCCAGGATGCTCCAGATCCAGCAGAGAGGCAGCAGGAAAGGCAGGACTGCCCTTTCCTCTGCCTCTTGCCCCACTCGGGCCCTCCATGGACGGGATGATGCCCACCACCAGGAGGGTCCGTGGATAAGTGACACACCCACCCAGAGTGAGGCTCCTGTGGGCACCAATGGCCCAGGAGGCCCATGCAGCATCACCATCTCAGGACTCTGCCCCTATCTGGCAATGCAGGGGGCCTCTCGACTGCTCCCCGGGGGTCCCTCCTGCTGAGCCAGGCCTCCACCAGGAACCCCAGCAGGATCAGCAGGATGACACCACCCAGGCTCAGCCTGAGCATGTTCACCTTGTAGGAATTCCAGGAGGCAGACCCTGCAGAGAAGAAACGGGTGGGGTGGGGGTTCCAGGATGGAGAATCACGCCCAGAAACACACACAGAGCGGACTGTGAGCCCAGCCAGCTGCCCAGGGAATTGAGGTCCCGGTTCCCAGGTGGTGTGGCTACGTAGGTGGCCCCTGGCACAAGGCACCTGGCAGAGGTGGTGAGGAGGTGCTGAAGTCTGGCCCAAACCCCTGCTGGCCACCTGCCTGTCTGGAGGACTGGGCCCCAGATAAAGTCACAGGAACTAGGGGACCACCTTCTCCAGGGCTGGTCTGCCAAGGCCCTCTCCTCTGGTTTTTTTTGAGAGGCTGCTACCCTCACAGGACCCTGCCCTGTCCCCAGAGGCTCTGGGTCAACCCCTCAGCACTGGGCAAGTGGACAACCCTTGATCCTACAGAGAAGGTGGGCCGTGGGGCTCACCTCTTCCTGAGAGCCTCAGGGGCTCACTGGGGCCTGACCACAGCGAGGGGGAGGAGCTTAGAGAACCGTAGCATCTGTAGGTGGCCCCGCGGGCCTCCTCGCTGGCGTTCAGGGTGAAGTTGGCCTGGAAGAACCCGCGTTTATACTGAGATCTGAGGCGCTGGGTGACGTTGGCACTGCCCTCCTGGGACAGGAGGAACAGGTCGAACCACATCTCTGAGCGGCACTGCAGGGTCGTCCTATGCTGGGGTGCCCCAGAGGGGCCCTGAACAGCCGAGAGCTGAGGCTCTTTATACACTCCTAGAGGGAGAAAGCCACAGTGATGCCCGTGTGGCCCTCCCTCACCCAGCCTTCGACTCCCTGCACGGGCCCTCTGTCTCCCGGGCTCCTGCCCTGGCCTCCCCTCTCCCTCTGCCATCCTCTGGCAACCCATTCTCCCATGGCCACCACAACCCTTTTTCCAACCAGGTATGCCTCAGTGGTGGAGCAGAAGCTTGCTGTGCACCAGGCCCTGGGCTCAATACCCAGAACCCAATGAAAAGGCACAAAGGACATTTGGTGCCCAGGCTGCGCAGACCACTGGTGGGTGGACCTGGCCCCAGGCTGTCCTGGACGCAGTCCAAAGTCACTGGATGGAGATGGACGAGACAGCGAGATATGAACCCACACTCTGAGACACAAGACAACGATACTGTTTGTAAAGCCAGGCCTGAAAGGCACAGGTGGTGGGCCTGCAGGTGCCGGCTTCTGCGGGCAGAGTCCCTGAGGGCCAAGGGAGAAGAGGGCCCAGATGCGGGCTGAGCACAGGATCCCAGCCAATGAGCATTAGTAACAAACACCCGCAGCGTCCACAGCGGTCCCTGCGCCCTGAGCGGGGTGAGGGCGTCAGCAGGATAGCTCACTGAGCCTCACCAGGGGAGGAGAACCCCGAGCGAGCGGGATGTTGTGGGGTGGAAGGGAGAGGGGAGGGTCAAGGCACACCCCAGGCCTGCGCTGAGCAGTCCAGCCTCAGAGGAGCCCACGAGAAGGGAGGAAGGGCCCCCGGGCTTGAAGGACTCTTGGTGAGCTGAGCGCAAAGTCCTTATTCGCGTCCACAAAACGTGTCACCAGGCAGAGGGCCGGATCATTGTCCTGTGCCTCCACCCACCAGCGGCCAGCAGGGAGACCACCTGCCCAGCCTGATGATTCTTAGGGCCCACAGCACACCCTTCAGATCCAAGCCAGCCAGAGCCCCGGCGGCCAGCACTCCTCCCGGGCATCGCCCCACAGGTGGCAGCCCTCTGCCCTGCCCCAAGAGCCAGCAGCCCCACACCAGAGCCGCTGAGCCCACTCTAACCACCACCCCACACCGCTGCCCTGCCCTCCCAGCTCTGCCTCCTCTTGGCCCTGCCTCTGGGCAAGCTCCGGGCCTTGGCCCTGCCTCTCCCTGGCCACCGGCTCCTGATCTGTGGCCTCACAACACGTGAGTAATAATGAGACCCCCATTTTACAGCAGCCAGCACCACCCAGCCAAGATCAGCGGGTGGGGGGAGGGTAGAGGTGCCCAACAAAGGTTGGGAGGCCATGTTGTCCCCAGGCCAGTCTCCTGGGGCCTCGCAGCTGAGCAGGGGCCGGTTCACAGTGCAGGAGTGAGCAGGTGGTGGGACTGCTCAGGGACCAGCCACCATCCCTCCTTACACCCGCCCCCCCAGGGCTGCCAAGTGCCCTGGGGAGCCAGGTTCCCACGGGCACTGGACAGAGCTTCCTCACCTGTGACCATCAGCTCCAGGAGGTTGCTGGGAGCTGACCACTCGTGGAGGGAGGTGTTGACAGAGCCGTAGCATCTGTAGGTCCCCCCGTGGGCCCGGGTGGCAGGGGATAAGAGGAACTTTCCCTGGCCGCCTTGGATGGAGCCTGCAGGCAAGGCCAGCTCTGCTCCCTTGGACAGAAGGAACACGTCATAGGCGCTTGGTAAGTGACAGTGAAGGGTCACGCTCCCTCCTAAAGCCACCATGGGGCC